TGGCTGGTTCTCCTATTTTGTCAATATATCTTCATGTTTGTCTCTTTGCGTGTTGCGCGTTTTAATGTTTGTATGCTTGTTCGTTTGTTTTACCATTTTTTGTTCGTTGTCTTCGATTTATAATAAATAAGGCCTGGCTTTGCATATTAATTATTGGTCAACATAAAATGGGTTTCTGCGGAACCGTAATTCCTTTCTGAAAATAATAAAATTCTTGCAAAAGTTTTAGCACAAAACCCAATGAATCACGTGTGTTTCAGTAAAACCATTTTGTACACGTTTATCTGTCAGATTTCTGCAGCATGGAAAGATCAGAAAGTTCCCTACGCTGGGTCAGTAAAGGCGATAAAGAAAGGGGTTTTCATCAAGGGCACCATCAATATTTTGGGATTCGCGCCGGCTGTCGAAATATTACTCAGTGACAAGGTAATTTACTCGTAATTGAGGCAGAAGTGGCTGTAAACCTGTTCAACGTGTTCAAGGCGAGAGTTGCTATCGCGGCAGGCTATGGAAACCCGTTTGCTGGTACCGGTTTTACCGCCAAGTTTATCATAGAAACTGGTTTTGATCAGCTTTCGAACAAGACTGCTGAGGTTTTAGTAGCTGCTTTACAAGCGACAAGAAAGGCTTTGGAAAAAGCTCAGTTGACAGTAAAAGAAGCCAAACTTGCCTGTGAGAGGAAAGCCGGCAGTTTCTGCAACATCTGTGAGAAACTGGCGTGCGATGAAATTTCTGAGGAATGCAAGCGCGCTATGGACAAGTTTAAGCATTTCGTGGGAGAAAAACTGGACAAATTCGGTGGGGATTTTCTGCGACTAACCCCGAGATTTGCTTTCTCTTTGTCTTAATTATACCGCTTTGCGGTCTACAGTAGTATAAAGCGTTAAAGAGGTTAATGATATTTTCCTAGGAGTAAGTGTTCTATTTCACAACACCCATTCAAACTCAGTTGAATAAAGATAGGGAAATAATGATTGACTAACGAACCGAGCTGGCTCAGCTTGGCTAAGGGGTTGGGGAGGGGGGAAGGGGGAAGGGGATAAACGGAGGGTATGGCCCAAACGATAAGCGTGGCAGGTAGGGGGTGTTCTTCCCGGTGCTTCGCTGGACAAAGTGAGTTTGAATGGAGTGAACAGAATTCCTTGTTATTTATATTACTTACGGAAGCAGTGTGAGTAATGTTCATCAGGCCGATAAAACTGAGTTTTTGTTGAATAATTTAACTTTGCTTGTCAGTGTTTTGAATGGGAAAATAGTTAAGCAAATTTAAATAAACATTTATATCTCGTGTACGAAATCTATATCTATATATATATATTTAGATATTCATTGCTATCATTATTGTAACTGTCCTCATCATTGACTACCATTTGGCTCAATCCGTATTTCAGGTCGGAAAGTGAAAAGCATTGGAGAGAAATTAAAATCTGGTTTTAAAAAAGAGAGAGCAAAACGTTACATGGATCTCCTGACGGATGGAATGAACTGTGCAGCTCAATTGAAACAGAATAGTGACCACACAAGCGATTATTCAAGCCACGCCCATGCAGATACAACCTGCCACGACAGTCGCTACGGAAACAATACAAAGCACCGGTCATCTCGGCGCAAGAGGTTCGTGGGTAAAATGATGTGCGAGAAGCTGGCTAAAAAAGCTTGTACGATAACAAAAGATTTGTGTAAAGGTAAGAAGGGTTATCAGTATATCTTTAGTGACAGCTGAAAATACCAAAAACAGTGAAATTTTAAAAACAGTCCTAACAGAAATGTGAAACCATACAAAAAAGTAGTGAAGATTAAAAGTGAAGCTTATCTTAAAATTATTAGTAAGACTCGCTTTGCATAAGTGTCAAAGGTAGTATTGAGCCCTCAAAGAAACCGTACATCTTTGTATCTTGTTATGAATAATTTTTATCATATCTCTCAGTTAGTACGTACGTTTTGATTGGTCGATTTACCGGATCTTATTTCACTGTACGGCTCACTCTGATTGATATCTTTGATTCAGATGCATGGTCCGCACGAACGCGCCTGGATCATAAAATCTGAACTGAAGAATCTCAGTGTGTAAATTACAGCTTGGATCGAGAATACGAGGTTAACAAGAGATATGCTAGTCTTTGGCAAAACACATAACACTTAAATTAGCTTCGGACTCAAATTTTAATAATGAAACGGTTGCTTTGGATTACCTGATTATCAATTAGCCCACCTCATTAAAGCCATAAAGTCTACAGCTAAGATGCAAAATGTTGAAGACTCTTTCCGATTGCCTTCGATCAAAGGAATGATTTATCAAGAATCTGTTTTCCAAGGCTATTCATAGACATGTTCGAAACTGTATTCAATAATTTTCCAGGTTCCTGCAGTGTTGTCGGCCACATTACCAAGGGAATGTGCAAAGCTCTCGACCTAGCCCATCACGGTCTTTACGTGCTGGAAAAAGGAGCATACTGGGCCGAGCGAGCTGTCCTAGCAGTGGCAAAGAATATGCTTGTCATTCACAAGTTATCGTTTGAAACACACTTAACAGCCACTCCACTCGATTCCTCTGTGTCTCTTGGTGCAGATGTGAGCATTTTTGGTTCTAGAGGGCAGTTAAAACTGGAATTCAATCTGGCTGATCCCCTAAAAAATGTCCATAAATTGGCAGACACAGCTCTGGAGTTCTTTAAGAAGTTGTTTAGTCCAAGATTTTCCAAGGCAATTTATGATGAGCCAAATGAAGAGTCTGATTTCGAGTTTTCAGGTGGGTATATAAGAAAAAACTCTTTGTCCATGTCGTCTGACTGAGAGGGAGACAAGAAAGATATCATGGCCTATTTATCAAGTAAAGTTATAACTTATCTACCCTAGGTGAATTCCGAGTCCAGATGAATGACACCAAGGATTGCTTATCTGCTCCAGCAAGCTCAAAAGTTGGTTCTCCTGTGACTTTGGGCTCCTGTGATGGGGCGGTATCTCAGTGGGTATTTACACTCACAGGAGGACTTATGGTAAGTGTCAACCTCGTTCCCAGAGCCTTTTCCCTTACTTGGGGGTGGGGTGGGAAAGGGCCCACTCAAAATAATGAAAAAGGTATTGGGAACGAGGTTGGGTAAGTCTTTCATGGAAGAAACCTGCAAATGAGATACTAGCTGTAAGTAGTTCAATTTTCTTTAATTTGTTTTTCGAACTGATCAGTTCTTAAGCCATGCTGAAGTTTTGAAGAGGTAGGCACTGCAGCTAATGGCTAGCTATTTGTGTCTGTTTGTTTTGATTGAGACCAAAAGAGCGCCAGGGCTTAGGTAGCCATTTTAAAGTGGGCCGAGAGCATGTTTCTTTAGGATATAATCGAAAATGTAGGTCTCTAATAAACCTTTTAAGTGAGGTTTCAACATGGAATGTTATCGAGGTCATTTTGGGCCTGACACCGCTTTCATCTCGTTTTTTTAACGTCATTCATCAGAATGTCGATTCTGGTCTGTGTGTAGCGATGGGTACAGCTCAAGGCCAGGCTCTAGTGCAACAGCAAGCTTGTGACGTCACCTCTGAAGAGCAAAAGTTCACTTGTGACGGCAACAAGATTACACCCGTGAAGGATTCTGGAGTATGCGTCACAGCATCTGGTAAAAACTAATTCTCATGTCAAACAATTGAGATACACTGGGAGCAAGCTAAGAAAACCTCACATCCACTCTAGTAAAAGCGAGACCACGCTCCTTCACTGGGATTATCAGCAAAATAATCCAGATGAGATGTTGAGAGAACACGTAAAAAATAAAAAATTCTCCGAGAGCGAGCCAAAACCCTCCCGCCTATTATATATTGCAAGAAGACCTGGTGTGTCTGAACATTTTGGAGTCTTTTAGGAAATAGTATATATAACTTAGTTTTCTGAACTAATATCCATACTTACTACAATTGTTTTTTTTTTTTTAATCAATGCTTAGGGGGAAAAACGGGATCAGGTGTAGTCGAAGCCAAGTTACTCAAGTGTGACGACGAAAGCGTGCAGAATGAGCAAGCTTGGATAATACATGATGATCCCAGAGCCTTATCGGTTTGCGACAAACATGTTCCTGGTAAGTTGTTGTTCTCCGTTCTATTATCATGGTTCAAGACTTAAAGCAAAAATGAACAGAAAAGCGAAAGAAAAGCGGAAAAATTGATTAATATAGGAAGGCGTATGCGATATATCATTGTCATGAAATTCGACGCCGATTAATGTTTCTTGATTTAGACGTCGCTCTTGGGAAGCCTTCCCTGCAATCTAGTTTAATGTCCGTCGATGAGTTCCAAAGCGAGTCCAAAGACGAAAAAGTGAGCATTCCCGGGGTTGGCCCAGAACTAGCTGTGGATGGGAACATGTCTACAGAACCTTCTGCGGGCTCCTGCTCCATAACGGCCCTTGAAGTTGAACCCTGGTGGAAAGTGGACTTGCAGAGCGAGCACATTGTCACAGATGTGAATGTGGTTAGCTCATCTGGTAGGTGCTACGCTGTCAATACCTAAACAGCTTGCTAAGTGAAACTTAAATGTGCATTTAGGGGCTCGTTGGTCACCACAATGCTGTACCTTCGATCGAAGAAGCTAGTCCTCTATTGGACCTTCTCAATAACAAGTGAATCAATGTCCAGTTAAAATTATTGAATGACGCATTCTCCATGATTTGTAATGAAAACGAAACAAGGAAGAGTCCAAGTCAGCCGACAAGGCTTGATAATAAACGATCCGACTTTCCCCGAAACCTCGTATTTAAGAGGGGAGAGCTCTGAAGAAAAGATTGTGTTGGAACAAATGGTCTATTGTACTTCAGTCACAGTTTACTGACCTAACAACTGTTCATAAATAGGATGAAATAGCAGAGATGTGACAGACGCGCTAGAAATACAACTAGCCATAAGTCTTCAATGACAAAGCATACGTAACGGAGCAGAGTGAAATTTGCATTCTACGGTTTGGGTTCTCTTGTTCTCGAAGACCTCGAACTGTAGGTCTCTGTATAAAGTGCTTCTTCCCGTGCAAGTAACTCAAAAAATCTCTTTTTTAATTTATAAAAAACTCTTGGTTTTTTTCCAGGATCATTCTCGAGTCCATTGTCTAATTTCGAGATTCGCGTCGGGATCCTAAAAGACCACAAACAGAACCCAATGTGCGGGGACCAAGTCCGACAGCTAGCGGCGGGAGAGGTCTGGACAGCAGAATGTAAGCCACCAATCCCAGGTCAATACGTGTCCGTCAGTATGGTTGGCAAAGGATACTTGGCGATATGTGAAGTGGCGGTTTTCGCGAGATTAGGTGAGTTTATGATTCCTTTGAGTCTCAGGACAATTTTTAATGGACTAACGCTAGTAATTCGCGATTCTGTTGCTTTTGGTTTGCTTCGCTTTAAAATCGCGTTTTGCAAGGAATTGGGATATTCTTGTTCTGACTTGAAAAAATAAAGGACAAGTTCAATTGCAGACTTTTTTAAGGGCTCGTATGGATACGTGTGCCTGTCTATCGTGTCCTATTCAGTTGAAATTTTAACTCCAAGAGGTCATATGATAAAATGCTCATTGACTGGATTTGGTCGGGCCGGACGGGAAAAAATTTGGCTCGGGGTCATACTGACAGGACCTCGCTGCGCTCCGTCCACACGTCATATGCATGACCACGAGCCAAATATTTTCCCGTCCAGCCCGACCAAACTCAGTCAGTAAGAACATAGTATTAAACTTGATTCAGTTAGTTGATCAGTTGGCTAAATAAAGAAAAACCAAAAGAAGAATCACGGTCCTTCTTGCTTGAGCAAGGGAGGCGCCGTGGCTGAGGGGTTAGGGTGCTGGACTTGAAATCCGGTGCCCCAGGTTCAAGTCCCCCACCCTACCACTCACTGGATTTGTTCTCGGTTGCCCCAAGTTCAACTCCTTGGCTGCGCTATGTAAATAGCTCACTGGTCGCCTCCTGCCAATGGGGATTTTTAAGCAATTAGTTAAAACTTCTTCTTAAGACAGCCCACAATGGAAACTACTGGGTTACCAGTAATTGTGTTAGCTATTAAAGTGTTCTGTACGGTGGCCCAGAAGGCTCAACGCAAACAAAAAAAATACTGCAGCAAATAAAAAATATACTGCAGCAACTAAAAAATATACTGCAGCAAATTAAAAAATCAAAACGCAAAGAAAAAAGTCACCGCAGCAAATAAAAAATGCAACGCAAACAAAAAGTACTGCAGCAAATAAAATATGCAACGCAAACAAAAAAAAAAAAAGAAAACGCAAACAAAAAAAATCGGAACGCAACGCCAAGGAAGACTAGGTAATA